ACATTTTGAAATATTACACATTCTTCACATTTTGAAATATTACACATTCTTCATTCACACTATTTCACACTTCCATTCACACTATTTCCCACATCTTAAACAAAATTTCCCCAATCTTCACATTTTGAAATTTTACACATTCTTCAAAGAATACTCAAATGCCACTTATGTTTACAAGTCTTGATAATTCACTTCTATGCCCTCTAAATTCATCTTCCTCTCTGTCTAGTACCTAACATATCATGTCTTATGATGAATTTGTCATATTATAGTAGAGGTTAGGCTATCATCAGTTTCTATACTGTGTACATATAATTATTAAATAGAAAATTTCTTCTCAACAGATCAGTTTATATCCTACTTCCCTTGGAAAACAGAAGCCATGAAATAACTACCCCCAACTTCTGCCAACACACATATTAAAATCCCCTACATCTTCACATGTCATGTGCTCTCCTTCCTTCCCACAGCTATCTTTTTCCTGGCTCTGAATCCCATCCTCCCATTCCTGACAAGAGCTTCACTTCATCAATTACCTCCTCTTTCTTCTAAATGTTTAACCTCTTCCTTGTTGCTCTTCCTCTTCTCAGTAGTTCAGGGAACACCAGTTGGAAATATTTGCATAGGGACGCCTGGGTGGCTCAGTTGGTTAAGCATCTGCCTTTGGCTCAGGTCATGATCTCAGGGTCCCGGGATCGAGCTCCACCCACATTGGGCTCCTTGCTCAGTAGGGAGCCTGCTTCTCCCTCTCCCTCTGCCTGCTGCTCCCCCCTGCTTGTTCTCTCTGTCAAATAAATAAAATCTTTTTTTAAAAAAGAAATATTTGCGTAAACTATTCTTAAAGCAAAACTGTTGTGCTGAGAGACCCTCTAGACTGGAGACCCTGAACAGAGCACCTACATCTACAAAGGCAAAGGAAACAAGTTATAAACACACATTAGCCAGGCAAGAGAGAATTATATTTAGCCACCCACCATCAGTGAAATAAAGAACACTGAAAGCTGATGCCAGAAACACCACCCTCCTTACTCTCAGCCTTGCTTTCCCTTGAGATATTGCTGATCTACGAATATCTGCAAATTCCACCTGGTCGAGGCAAAAGTGTACACCTGAGGGGCCCAAAGACTTATTTCCCGGGAAAGCCACTTGGACCTCATCTGGTATTCATTTTCTAAGAGTCCACAGCCTCAACATGTCAACATAAATTCATAGAATTCATAGATAAATTCATGAAGTTTATTACGGCTTATAATTTTTTGCTTATTATCTATTCTCACCAAAAGACTAAATCACTTGATTGTAAACTCAAGAACAAGGATTATGTCTCTCTTCTTTATCATTATGTTCTCAATACCCAGCACATGGAAGGCACTCAAAAAAGTGTAGCATGAATGGGACTATACCAAAAACAAGCTCAATATTGCAGTGGTTCTAGGGTAGGAAGCTTCGCAGAACAATCTGAGGGTCTTATTTAAACTACACAATCCTAAATAGTCTCCCCTGTCAAAGAAAAACCAGAATTGGATGGTCATTATAGCCATAGAAATAGATTTTGTTCAAGACTACTGCAATAGGGGAAAAGAGACTTCAGTACAGAACAGGGCTCAGTTCCTAATATAGCATGGGCAAGTAAGAATTTATAGCCAAGAAGTGGATGGGAAATTACTAATGGGAAACATTAGGGGTCAGGGAAATTCAAGATAAACCAGCCTCACAGGATCTTTGCTAAAGACAGGTCAGAGTGCCCAGACATCACCTGGGGGATGGTGGAAGATGAGAAGGATGTGGGACTCTTGATAAATTGATTTATCAGGATTCTTGCTAAAATTGGATTTTATAAGGGAGTGCATAGATAGGCCCAGAAGGAGGTTCAAGAGCCTGACTCAAATCTGGTCAAGAAAGAATCTTTGTCAATAACCAGAATCCAATGTACCATTATCAGGTTTGGGAAGGTGTGTGGGTACCTAGGTATAGCATGTGTCACCTCACAGGCCTCCAGATTCTAGCAAAGAGTGAGGGGTGAAACATCAGCAATTACTGTAGGAAGGGCAGTGGTTATGTGTAGTTGAGAAAAGTCCTCTAGTAACTTTCACCTATCACCTCTAGACCATGGGAGAACTACTATTCTAGAAAGACCATCCCTATGCCTGTAACGTTCTTCAGATCTTTAGGTGTAGATACTTGTCAACTCTCAGACCCCTGATCCTTCAGCCAATCTCAGAAGATCTCTGGGGCTCATACACGGTGACTGCACATGGATAACTACTTCTCTTATTAAAATTTTAAAAATATTTAACATTCTTATCCTCTACCACAGAGACCTTCAGTCATTAAACAGAGTAAGGCATTCTATTTGAAGAGGAGGTCTAGGGGCAACTGGGTGGCTCAGTGGGTTGAGGATCTGCTTTCGGCTCAGGTTGTGGTCCCAGGGACCTGGGATCGAGCCCTGCAACAGGCCCCTTGCTCAGCAGGGAGTGTGTTTCTCCTTCTCCTGCTCCCTCTGTGCTGTCTCTCCCTCTCTCTCAAATAAATAAAATCTTTAAGAAAAAAAAATGAAGAGGTCGAATACTGACAAAATGAGTAGGCAAGGTTACTTCTACCACGCCACTTCAGATTAAATGTTGCCATCGTTAGTATAGAATGTTACCACCATGAACTTAAAACCTGGATCCCCAGACCAAACTTTTGGAAAAAGCCTTTCATAACCAGCCCACAGATTCCTCATTACCAATTACCCCTAAGTCCATATCCTTCAGTCAAATGAAACAAGAAAGAATGGGGTGACATAGAAGTAGGGGTGACAGAGTTAAAGGGATTCAGAGTAGAATTCTTATTCCTGTCTTTGAACCACGAAGTCCTCCAGGATCTCTTCCTTTTGGGAAAACATTCCAGGCTGCGTTAGGAAGCACTTCTCAGTGTTCTCCTTCAGGGTCCCGCCTGTGCAGTAATCAATGATTAAAGCAATTTCCTAATCTTATTTATTTAGGACTGACACAAATGAAAACAGTTAAGGGACTCAAGATCAGAATTTTAACTTAAATATTTTCTGGAAAAGTAGCAGACAATGAAACCATTAAAGAACTCCTCGCAGTTTTTCAGGATTAAAATGTAACACATTTCAATCACAACTAGGCCTGTCAAAGAGGAATTCAAATAGAAATGTGACTCCCAAAAATACATCGGGCACTCAAGTGAGCTAATTTCTATTAAAGAAAGAAGTGCTTTCTGGGGAATTTGGGAGTCCAAACAACCTGTTCAATTGCCCAGCGTGATATGGAAGCAAAAGGCAAATAAATCTTGGGAGTCAGAGGGATTAGAGCTGAAATCAGGATTTAGGATTATGTGACCTGACCAAGATGATTTCCATCATCTCTCTTGACCTCTGCTTCCTTCTCTGAAAAATGGTAATAGTATCTATCTTGGAAGATTATTAAGGGAATGAGCCATGCTAATAGTAACAATGAAAATACTGCAGATAGCAATTATGTATGAGCATATTTTCTATCAGCATACTCTAACTCCCCAGGAAGCAGGGGAGGGATTTTCTCTCTTAATACTAATATTATGCAGGTCCCTCTTGAGTTTGCACTGGGAAACCATAAGCCCCTGTTTGTCTCCTGATGCTGCTTCTTACATGTTATTTACTCTGGTTTAAGCCTTTAGAAATATGACCTCGGGTAAACCCTCAGAAACATTTAAAGGCTACTAACCTTTACATCTAAGATTTTTATATTTCTTGAGTTGAATCTACCACCTATCAATTTTCATTTGTTCCCCTCGAAACTATTTACTAAAATGACATTTTTCCTTTGAACAGATAAAATCTTAAAAATATATATATAATCTTGGAAAAACTATTTATTTATTTGACAGAGAGGGAGAGAACGCAAGTAGGAGGAGAGGCAGAGGGAGAGGGAGAAGCAAGCTCCCGCTGAGCAGGGAGTCTGCTGTGGGACTCAATCCCAGGATCCTGGGATCATGACCTGAGCTGAAGGCAGACACTGAACAGATGGAGCCACCCAGTTGCCCCATGCAAGATTATATATTAAGTAGTGGGAATAAGTGGGTCTCCCACCCTTAAAACTCCTAATACAGCTATTTCCCTTCCTTTGGACAAACAAGCCCCCAAAGAATCCATTTTTTATCAATGAATATTTTCTAATAAAGGAGTAGCCAAAACAAAAATCCCAAATTTTCAAACTGCTTTTAATGGAGCTAAAGTCTGAAACAATTTATCTTTTATTGTTCTCACTGTGAAAATTAAGGAGTCTACTAAAGGTTTTAATAAATGTTATCACATCAGCTCAGCTCCAGCCATCTCCAACACACACACACACACACACACACACACACACACACACACACACACACCACAGCAATCAAAGAAAAACAGTGCACCAAAGCTTGTGTGACAAACTCCCAATTAATGGTGAAAACTCCTTGGAGCCAAGGTGTTGTTCTCCCAATAGGCTGCTATTTTTTAAATATTTCTCTTTGAAAACAACAGCATGATTAATTCCAACATTCTTACTTAAATTACTTATGACATAGAAACAATGATACAGTATGAGCAATTATTAAAAACACTTTATTATGTATAATTTGTACATGCTGCAATTTGTGTCATTTGGGGTCATCTTCCAGGTTGTGATGTCATCTACTAAGATTAACTAAATCTAATTTTCATCCGGCCACACCACATACAAAAATACAATTTTCAAAGCAGAAGTTCCCCTTCTTTACACAAAGATACATAAGAGTGTGTCAGATGAATAAGAAAAGAATACTTTGCACATGTATCAACACCATACAAGGCATTATCCTTCACACAGTAACAACTAATGTGTTATTTGGGAACAGCAGGAAAAGAGCCCCTTAACCCTCAGAGGGAAATGCAAACTTTGTTGCTAAAGGCGAACTCCAGAGATGAAGGTGTGGTCCTCTGGGGTGGCAGGGAGGGAAGTAGGGGCAGTGGGGATTTATGGAGGCGGGTGGATGCCTCACAAGCACTTCAAAAGGAAAGAATTGCAGGTGGTTCCTCGGGGACAGTCGCACAGCTTCCCAATCCTCGCTCCTTTTCGCACTGCGCACCGCTCCCCAGCGTGGCACTGAAAACAACACAATGTGTGGTCTTCCCACAAAAGCAAACCCAGGCTCCCAACAGGCACATCTCCCCATCAACACAATGTCTGCCTCTTAGGAGAGATAGATGGAACCTATCACTATCACCGGAGGTCTAAGTATGGTCAGACCTGAAACACAACCTTAAAATTCCAGTGAGAGAACATAAAAAGAAAAAAAAAATTAGATTATTGAGCTCCTCTTAGTTTATTCCACCTTTTATTTTGGGGGGAGGGGGTACATTTTCTAGCTCCCTTAGTTGTTTATCAAGAAGAAAAATAATCAACCAGACATTTTTCTAAGAAATAAACAATAGACCTGTATTTTCTCATAACCTCTGCTCCCGGCTTTCAGACTCCTCATCCCAAGGAAGAGGGGTGTGGGTGTGTGTGTGTGTGTGTGTGTGAGAGAGAGAAAGAGAGAGAGAGAACATGAGCGTGTGCATGTGTAATTCCCCAAGGAAAGTGACAAGCAGGGAATCAAGAATTTTGACCTTAAAACATAGATCAGAAAAACTGGCAGTGCTCCAGATGGCAAGAAGAAAATTAGAGGAACAAGAACTGAGTAGATTTAAGGGCTCTTCCAATTCAGAGAATTTTTCATGAGAGGGAAAAAGCTCATCTTCAAGAAATGCTCTTTTCCACACAGACCCAAGAGCTGGTTCCTGGCACCAGCTCTTGGATCCTCTGAAATGGCCAATCTACTCTTTGCCCTTAGAAACCAAGGGGCATAATTTGGTGGTGGAATACAGAAGAGCCCACAGAATTCTGCAAACCCATTACCTGATTTAACCCCGTCCTAGGGAGGTCAATGTATAAGACTCAAGGTGGTCTATTTCCTCTCAGAAAAACATGGGGAGGGGGTGATCCCAGAGCCTTACCATGGGGACTTGGCCATACTTCTTCTCATAGATCGGAATACTTTTAGTCTTGAGCTTCTTCAGGACTTCCTGTAGCGCTTCGATCTGCAACACATCGCCCCGGAGCCCGAAGTTGCTGCGTTGGCTGCGAGCCCAACCCAGGTGCTCACTCCCAGCCCTAGTTACAAAGAGCCCCGGAACCACACGCACTCCACCCTGGGACTCCAAGGACAGAAAGGGATATTCGAGGGGTATTAACTTAGCGAGCACTGTCTCACGTACTGACCGCAAGTCCCTTAGACGCTGAGGCTCCTGTTGCTCCGAGGGCCCCGGACAAGAGATTCACTCTACAAACTGCCTGAAGCAGTGGGCTCCAGACGATTTACAGATGTAAGCCTGGGCTTTACGCTCATCTCCCTGCACCCCGACTCTGGCAGTGGGGGTGGGGAAGGAGGGAAAGAAGACGGACGAATACAAAGGAAAGGACCGGGCGGCAGCCAAGGGGGATCCGGGAGATACCCACCAGCTCCTTCTCATGAGAGGCATCCTCCACGGCAGAGTAGATGTCCAGGGCTCGGGGCTGGAGCTCAGCGTCCTCCTGGGCCCGGGCGCCCAGAAGAGGTAGCAGCAAAAGCAGGGCGGCACCCAACAGGGCCAGCGGCCGAAGACGGGGGCTCTCCATGGTGCTGAAACTCGGAGCTGCTGTGGCGCGCAACGCTCCCGCCTTTTATAGAGAGCCAGAGCCCGAGTACAGGCAAGAGGGAGGGGGCGACGAGGGAAGTGAGTGTGGAGGAGGGTCCAGGTCAACCGTCTGTAGGCAGCGCTCCGCCACCGCTTGACATCAGTGCCCGCTGGACACCAGGCGCCCACGAACGAAGCTCTGCGCACAGAGCTAGAGCGCAGAGAACAGGGACCCTGCTCCCCAAGTGCTGTCAGCCCCGCGGCAAGGGACGCTCCCCTAGGGGCCAGAGCTGAAACGGAGGGGCGACAGCTGAGGGATGGAGGAGGAGGAGGGGGCTAGGAAATGGAAAATGCCTTCGAGCCAAGGCTCAGGCAGCAAAGTCCCTCCCCATCCCCTAGCAGCAGCAGCAGCAGCAAAGTAATCCACCTCACCAACCCTGCCTTGCCTCTCACTCCAGCCCCACATGTGGCAGCAAGTAGGAGGTGTTGCCTCCAGGCAGGCATGTTTGCTAAGCATTTTACTAGGCACTCTGGGGGGTAGGGGAGGCCAATATAGTAAACATAACAAAGAGAAATCATGACCTTCCCCAGGATGAGCTCTTCATAGAATCTATGCGGTAATGAGAAAAGAAGACAAACAGACTAACTCCAATGCAGAGGCAGTGTGGGGGGCACAGACAGCCCCATTCTGATTCCAGTCCTGGCTCCACCACTTATAAGCTGTGTGACTTTGGGCAAAATAAATAACCTGAGTATCTCTGTCTCTGTCTCTCTTTTGTAAAACTGGTGTTTAAAAATGAGCCTCGCAAGTTATCAAAAGGAGGGAATGAGATTTGGTATGTAAAATTTCTGACCCAGAGCACAATAAGCACTAACCCTCCCTGCCTCTCTTTTTTGAACTGTGAGGCTGCCTAGGTAAGTGGCTGTGTGCAGTATCCCAGTTTTTCTTTAGGGCAAATTCGCCATCCTCAGGATCCCTGCTACCCACCACCCACTCCTGATATCCAAGAAGCCTGTCTATAAAGAAAGCAAAGGGAGTGAAAAGTCCAAGTCCCTGATTATAGAAATATCTCCAGAGATGAGAAGTCACTAATGAGCCAGGTCCTCAGTGACTTGGGAAGATTGGTTTTTAAAAGGTAGGGGTCCTTACGGCCTGAATGCAAACCAAAGTTCCTGTAGGTGAGGTGTTGGTTTTCCCTACTTAGACCTAGAGGCTTATCTTAATTGCCTGCCCACCTGGCTTCTTTCACCACACCTTTCTTTCAACCCCTTCTAGCCCCATTCACTTTTCTCCATCCCTATTACTACTACCCCAGTTCTGGACAATTGCCCCAACCTACATTTTGCCTACCTCCAGCTCCATCCCATCTTCTCTTGCCTTCCTCTAATCCATAACTCAAGACAAACAGCCAGAGCATTTTTACCCTTAAAATACACTGATGGCTTCCCATCTTACTAAGCACTAAATCTAAATTCTTCATCCTGACTTACAAAGTACTACATGATTGGCACCTCCTTCCACTTTTGAGTCCTACCATTCTGCCCCAGGCCCCTCCACTCCAGCCTCAGCAGCCTTCTTTTTGGTCCTCTAACAGGTCAAGCTCATTCCCATTTTGAGGCTTTTGCTTCTTAGCTTACCTGGAAAGGTCACTCTGCATTTCTAAATAGTTGGCTGCTCCTTGTCATTTAAATTTCAGTTCAAATGTCCTTGACCACCCAATCTAAAGTATCCACCAATTTATTATCCCACAGATTTATTGCTTGGCAGGTGATATGGGTAACTGGAATAGTTAATACATAATATGTGTCTGCTTATTTCATTTATCAAGTATTTAACTGTTACTCAAATGCACACTGGAAAGCAATTCAAGAAGTAATCTCTCTCCTAATGAGTAGCACACAAATTAACAGCATCAAAATATTTTTCCTTAAGATCAATCTAACTTGAAAATTAATCTAATACCTCCCTCAGGTCTGCCTTTTACACATACCTTTAGATTCTATACAACAAAACTTTAGTGGCAGCACATTTTACTTTTTAAAACTTACAGAGACATATTGGCACTCATTGTAAAATTGATTTCCAGTGATAAAAGCATTCTAAACTGCAGAAGGAAAATAGCCCTAAATAAGGTTTTAGTTCATCCTTCCACAAAGATGGGGATACTGCCAATGCAATAATTTCTCTCATAGTGTGTTCTACCCAGACACAAATAATAACTTTCCTTTTGTGCTACTTCTATTGAAAAATACTCAAAGGTTCAAATCCTACTGATGTAAGGTTGGTGCTCATGTTCATGTAAGCAGGATATTACATTTAGTTGATAGGTTTGGAAAGGGACCCTTAGACAATCCTGTGAAGCAAACCAGGGGTATCTTGGTCATTTAGATATCACAATGCTTTTTTATCTCTGAACAGAATTATTTGATAACCTGTCTTTAGGAAGCATGTGGTACAGTAAGACATAGGCCATTTTCTTCTTGAGACAACTTTTGTAAGTGTGAGATGTCCTACAGTTCTTACATCATGCACTGTCAGGAGAATTTATACATTCTTGCTAATTTATAATGACTCCACTAGAAAAGAAAAAAGTCCACCTTTGATGCCCCCAAGCAAGTAAAGAAAAATTTGTAATTGGATTTAGTTACTATTTCTCGTATCAGATATAGAAAAAGGAAGCAGATCATCTCACAAAATAGAAGCAGTGACCAGCTTGTATCCACGGAGATTTACTGCAGACAAACCTCTCAACCACTCCCCCTAAGATAAACTAGGATTCTAGTACTTTTCTCTCCCTCCCTTCTTCAAATTTTGAGTCATTCCTTTTCCTGTATGGCCCAAAATAACACCTGATCTTTTGGATTGTCATATTGCTCAAATACCAAACTACTTTGTTATCCATTAACCCCCTTTACATCCTTCTGCCAACCAAGTCTTGTTCAACAGTAAAACTTCCTCAGTTTTGGCCAGGAAAACAAAAGCAAAAATAAACAATTGGGACTGCATCAAAATAAAAAGCTTCTGCACAGCGAAGGAAACAATCAACAAAACTAAAAGACAACCTACAGAATGTGAGAAGATATTTGCAAATGATATATTTGATAAAGGGTTAGGATCCAAAATATAAAAAGAAGTGATACAACTCAACACCCAAAAAACAAATAACTCAATTTAAAAATATGAAGACATGAACAGGTATCTCTCCAAAGAAGAAATACAGATGGCCAACAGATACATGAAAAGATGTTCAACATCACTCATCATCAGGGAATTACAAATCAAAACCACAATGAGATATCACCTCATACCTATCAGAGTAGCTAAAATAAAAAACACAGGAAACAACAAGTATGGGGCAAGGATGTGGAGAAAAAGGAACCCTCTTGCACTGTTGGTAAGAATGCAAACTGGTACAGCCATTGTGGAAAACAGTATGGAGGATCCTCAAAAAGTTAAAAATACTTTTATCAGTGTGGTGGCAGCCATAAGAATGCTCAGGCTTCAGAAGAGGCTTGCTTCCAGTGTCCTCTACTGTGGCAAAAAGAAGGTCTGTTTGGATCCCAATGAAATCACCAATGCCAACTCCCATCAGTAGATCCAGAAACTGATCAAGGATGGGCTGATCATCCAGAAAACTGTGACTATTCATTCCCAGGCTCAAGTACCAGAAAATTACCTTGGCCTGCCACAAGGGTAGGCATATGGGCATCGGTAAGAGAAAAGGAACTGCCAAGGTTCAAATGCCTGAGAAGATGACCTGGATGAGGAGGATGAGAATTCTGTGCGGCTGCTCAGTTAATACCTTGAGAATCTAAGATTTACTGCCCCATGTATCACAGCCTGTACCTGAAAGTGAAGGGTAACCTGTTGAAAAACAAGCATACTTCCATCAAACACATCCACGAACTGAGGCAGACAAGGTGCACAAGAAGCTTCTGGCCCACAGATCTAAGACCAAGGAAGCATACAAGCACCGTGAAGAGCTGCTCCAGGCCAAGGAGGAGGAAATCATCAAGACTCTACCCAAGGAGGAAGAGACCACTCTTTTGTCTGTACACAGTGGCCTCAGCAATTACACAGGTCAGTTATTCAATAAAGCAAACCTTTATCTGCCTCAAAAAAATTAAAAATAGGGTGCCTGGGTGGCTCAGTTAGTTAAGTGTCTGCCTTCAACTCAGGTCATGATCACGGGGTCCTGGGATCGAGCCCTGCGTCGGGCTCCCTGCTCAGCGAGAAGCCTGCTTCTCCCTCTCCTACTCTCCCTGCTTGTGTTCCTGCTCTTGCTCTCTCTCTCCGTGTGTCAAATAAATAAATAAAATCTTAAAAATAAATAAATAAAATAAAGATAAAATTACCATATGATCCAGTAATTTCACTACTGGGTATTTACACAAAAAACACTAATTTGAAAAGCTATATGTGACCCTATGTTTATTGCAGCATTATTTACAATTGCCAAAATATGGAAGGAGCCCAAGTGTCTATTCCTAGATGAATGGATAAAGAAGATGTGATACACACACACAGTAGAATATCACTCAGCCATAAAAAAAAGAATGAAATCTTGCCATTTGCAACAACATGGATGGATCTGGAGAGTATAAAGCTAAGTGAAATAGGTCAGTCAGAGAAAGTCAAATACCTTATGATTTCACTTATATGTGGAATTTAAGAAACAAAACAAGCAAGCAAAAGAAAAAAAGAGACAAAAAGAAAAAACAAGCAAAAGAAAAAAGAGACAGACTCCTTTTTTGTTATGTTAATCACCATATATTACATCATTATTTTTTGATGTAGTGTTCCATGATTCATTGTTTGTTCATAACACCCAGTGCTCCACGCAGAACGTGCCCTCCCCAATACCCATCACCAGGCTAACCCATCCTCCCACACTCCTCCCCTCCAGAACCCTCAGTTTGCTCTTCAGAGTCTATCATCCCTCATGGTTCGTCTCCCCCTCCAACCCACCCCCCTTCATTCTTCCTCTCCTGCCATCTTCC